ATCATGCTATTGATCCTACCTCTTCGGTATCGATACTGATTAAATCGGTATCAATATCACTCATCTAATTTATCTCATTTTAGCCTATAGTATCGGTACTGTTCTTAGCAGTATCGATACCCTCCCCAAAAATTCCAGTTTTCAGTTTGAAAATCTCCCAAATGGGGTCAATTTTCTTTATATTTACCCCATTCAATACTATTAAACTCTTCATTAACTATTCATACTAACATTCCTTCATTTTTTTCCTAAAATATCTAACATCTTTCATGAACATTAAATTCTAAGAATCAAACCACTTTTTCTAATATGTTCTTTATCCCATCTAATACTTCTAATCTCTCATTTACCTCTTTGGCAAGTCAAATCTACCATTAAACCTCAATAAACACCAATAACCCAACATATCATTTTAAAACCTATTTTCTAAAATCTCTCATATTTTCTCCATTTCATAGTTTTGATCTCACTAAATCATTCCTTAAACTTCTAGTATGCGCAATGCATCAAAACCCAACCAAAAGCGAAGTAATAAACTAGTGAATTAAAAACTCACCTTTGAGCTATGGAGGAAGGTTATGCACATGAAAGAAGAAGAAGGAAAAGAGTTGACCAAATTTGAAACCCCTTTTCCCTTTTCTCTCTACTTTAATACCCTAAGAGAAATGAATTTTAAATTCATTTACTCCAATTGACCAAAATGTCCTTTATAATCCCCCACTACTACAATTTAGTTTTAACTACTCTTCCCAATTCATTCTCATCTTTTATCATTTAATCAAATAAATTCTCATATTTTTAAATCATTTCAATGAAGCCCTTAATTCAACATTTGGGGCATTACACCAACAATACTTCATTTCATCATCAAATAAGACTACAAGTGAGAATATTAATGATATTAATATTACAATTAAAAACAAGAGCAATTAAGATGAAATAAAAATAGCCTTGGATGATGCTCGGGAAATGATCATGACACTCGAGTTCCTTTAGAAAATGCTAGCATTAACGAAAGTATGAATTCAGTCCGGATATATCCTTAGGTAGTGTACGAGACACTTAAAGCTAACTAGTTTGGGCACAAGGTCTGACACTCAAGGAGTGAGCTAGTCGGGGATGCAAAGATTCTGGGCATCCAACCTCGATAGACTAGAGGGGTCTGTGAGCTCCGAGATGTAAAACCTTCAGCTGCACCATGATGTCTACCATAGAGTAGAGAGTACAGTATAAAAGTATACTCACTATTGCATTTTTCAGTTAGCTTGAGCATGACATGAACACTTTTAGTATGCCTTAGTTGTTATTGTGACACTGGGCTAGTTAGCTCAGCGTTTACAATTTGATTCCTTATGCAGGTTAGTCTAGGAGCAGTCCAAGGACTTTTTGACAGTGGTGATCCAGACCTAGATAGTGCAAAGTACGTCTCGAGATCATCTTTAAAGGGCATGTATAATTGTAAACCCCAATTTTTATATATTTTGTATGAGTTGTAACTCATTTTAAACTATGGTCTGTATGATTTAATTATTATTTTGGGGGCTCCTAATGTAAACTAATTTATTTAAATTGTAGTTGATTTATTTTAGCATGAGTGGTTACAAATGGTCATTTTTAAAACAAAAAAAATTAAAAGAAAATTTTGGTTAGCCACTCTGATGATTCCCTGTGACATTTTGATCGGTCGATTATGTGTCGTACTAATTTATGGTGTTATACTTTAAATCGTCACATCAGTATTTTGAATCATCATGTCTTCATCGTGATGATCAATGCCTGATTCTATTGGTCAAAGGAACAAATTGATTTTTTTTTCAGTTGTCCACATTAAGGACAAAAAAAATCAGGGTGACTTTGATTTTCTTGGAAAAGTTGAAGTAACTCGTAGATCATTAAGCCAAAAAAATATCTATGTCAAACTATATTTTTAATGAAATATTATATTTCTCGTCTGGTTCCTTTGTGATTTCTAGTTATCATCTTTGGATTAGAACTGGGACCATCACCACTACCACTATCACTAACTCCACCTGACCCAATATTAAAAATATATCTGACTGCCTCGCTCTACCAAAAGGACAGACTTGAAACTGATGGTTGCCAAAACCTGAAAAAGAAGGCAGGCAATTGTCGATGGCATCTTAAATGACGAAAACAAACAGCGCCGGTGGTCCCTCGCCGGAAGAAAGGGGTGCATGGAAATCAGAGTCCCTCACTGGGATTTTATTATTATCGGTTTTAGGGAGGCTCTCAACACAGTTTAAAACTTGTCTTAATGGCCATCCTTTGTCGGGATTCCTGCTCCACTCAGTTGACCATCATCCCCTTTGAGTCACATGCAGCAGGCCACATCGTGCCATGGGTTTTGGGGTTTTGGGGTCCCCTATTTTAAAACGATGGATCCTATTAATGATAATCCCACTCTGGTTCTCGTGGAAAACCCCATCCTTGAGGACAAAAACTGGAATGGTCCTCTCGGATTCACCCATTTGTTGACAGCAACACTGGAATGAACTGATGGATATATGGTTGTTTTCGAATTTCGAAATGAATCTCCTTGTAATAAAAGTGTGACAAATTATAAAAAGATGGGAAATTTCGAAGGCAGAATGAGGTTAAATGGGTTAACCTAAGTTTATCTGGGAGAAGTAGGATGATAGTTAGATTAGAATAATCTTATTTTTCGTGAAAAAAAAAAACTATTATTTCAAATTTCTTTTGATTTTTCCATAATAAAACATCTTCTTCCAATTCTAATGATAGTGAGATGAGAAAAAAGAAACGAGATGATTATCTCGATTTCACTTAATCAAATGGTAGATCTCATAGATTAAAATGATATATGATTTTATGATTTTTGTGTTTAGGGTTAAGTTTTATGTGTACTTTTTAAAGTGATTTAGATAAAATATAAATTTATAGAGTGATATGAGATAATGAGACGAGTTCGCTAATATTTTAGAGTGATATGAGATAATTAGACGAGTTCGCTAATATTTTAAGTGGTAAGAGAAAATATTTGAGAATGTTAATTATAACACCAACTTGACACATAAAAAATTGTAAAACTTTTATATTTAAAGGAATAAGCTAAATATATATATATAGATGATACATGAATTTAAGTCAATTAAAAGTGATTCACATAAGACACATGAATATCATGTCATTATTCTATTTATGATTTAACATTGAGTGAACAAATAGGAATAAATAAAATAGTGGATAAAGTACATAAATGGTCCTCTGACTATAGGATAATATTTTATTAAGTCCCTCAACTATTAAAAGTTACAAAATGGTCAATCGACTATTCATTATGTTCCAAACTCATTTTTTCTATTAAAAAATTAGTGGATGTCTAAGATGGACGTTAACATGATGACTGAGATATGATAGTCGTTTGAGATTATGGGATATATCACACTCGGCATGTTAACGTTCAACTTAGTACCATCAATTTTTTAACAAAAAAGACGAGTTTAGAATATTATGAATACTCGGAGTTACGGTTTTGTAACTTTTAATAGTCGATGGATTCAACAAAGCAATACTCTATAGTTGGAGGATCATTTTGTAACTTTTAATAGTCAATGGACTTAATAAAGCAGTATCTTATAGTCAAGGGATCATTTGTGTACTTTACCTAAAATATTTAATAAGTAAATTAATAAAATTAAACTTTAGTAACCAAAATAGAGATAAAAAAGATTGAGTGATAAAATTTGTAATTTATTATTACTAAAAAATTGATTAACATGATGTATATAGGGATGGTCAAAATACACGAACCCGACGAGTCTCGATCCAACTCGATTGGATAGGGGCATTTTTTTTTAATTTTAGGGCTCAGGGCAAGCGGGTTATGGTTATAAAAATTTCATGGCAGGCTGAGGCCGGGTTTAGGTGAAAAATCATCAACCCGACCCGATCCGATTAATTTATATTTTTATATATATTATATTTAAAATTTTAAGAATTTTTACTTTTATTTTATTAAAATATAAAAATTATTATAAAATATATTAATTTAATCATTAAAATATAATAAATATATTATAAAATATATTATTTTAATTATTTTAGAAAATTAATATATTCCAGTTAGGTCGGGTTGGGATTTTAGTCTAAAATTCAGGGCAGAAAAAACCTAAATTTTTTGAGACATGGCCGGGTTTTAAGTATATGTTTCCAGGTCGAGGTTGGGACAATAAAAAACCGGCCCGGCCCACCTCGGCCCATGCCCATCCCTAGATGTATCTCTCGTTAATACTTGATCACAGTCAATTTGCTTATCCTCATAGTGGGTAATCATTCATTCTAAAATCTGAATTTTCTTATGTTCGACATTTATTTTATCGTTTATATTAATTTTAAAATTTTATTTATATTCACTTATTTTGTATTATTAATATATTTATTTTCAAAATATTTTTAAAATCGTTATTGTGCAAGATAATGGCACGAGAATAGTAGATATTATCAGCTTGATCGATATGAATAGTAGTAGTTCAGGAAGATGGTTTCCTATTTCTTGAATGTTTCTGTAATGGTTTACGTGATCCGTTTTGACATATGTATGTACCAGTGAAAATCAAAGGCAGAAGAAGGAGGAGGAGGAGGATTTCCAGTTTACGTGATTTTTTCGTGTAAGAATGGTTGAAAAAGGACGATGACATTGATAGTGTGGCCTCAGCACATTTCCATCTAAGTGAAAATCAAAGGATGATGAAAACGTGGGATACTGACATTGATGATCCCCCATAAAACCCACCGAGTGAACTCCAAAAAAAAAAACCCTATTGTTTGTTTATTCGTCTCTGCAAATCCCATTCCCAGATGGTCCTACGCATGCTACTCTAATAGTTACAACTGCAGCACCTTCCCAAAACAACCCTCCCTTCATGCAATTTCTTATCTTATTTATGTTTCGTCTTCTTCCTGCAGCCTTATATTTCAGCTTTTCGTCCTTAAAACAAAACTCGTTTTCTATGTCCAAGATGGGCTGGCATAAACCTAAACCTTCCAAGAGATATTCTGCTACTCTCCCTGGTTGCATCACTGCTGTTTTTCACTTGTTTCGTTTCCATTGTCCTTTAAATCACCAAACCAGTGGTAGTCAGAGGCGCCAAGTCGCCGCCGCCGCCGCCGCCACCGCCGTTGCAGGCACAGAGGCGCCAAGGAACAGCTTGGAGTCAGAGGAGGAAGATGAAATCTTGAACGTTCCTGTAAGTCTAGTTAATATGTTCTTGGCCTTACTCGATTTCAAAATGTCGACATTTTGGTTTTTGAAAATGTAGATGGGAATTCAAATCAAAACAAAAGTTGTAGCCACCGCAGACAATGACATTGACACACCGGGGACAAAGACGCCTACATTGGTTGCTAGGCTAATGGGACTGGACCTTATTCCAGAAACAAGGTCATTGGATGGTACCCGGTCGTTGCCGGTGACTCCAAGAACATCGTCGGTGAGGAGGTCGGACGTCGATCGTCATCATCGTCGCCTCTCGCTTCAAATTAACAAAGAAAACATGAGCGCTACACAAGAGTTGATAATGTCTCGTCTCTCGTCATTAATGAAAAGGAAAGAGAAGAAGCATGAATATGTGAAGCAAGTTAAAGAAAGAGTTGCCAGGAAAGTTGGAATGAATATAACCAACGAGGTTCGAAACAGAGAAGAGCTTGTTAGCCATTTCAAATACAAGAAAATTTCGGCTTTAACCAAAGTTGCCGATGATTCCACCATTGTCAAGCACTCTACAAATCCAAAACCATCAACTCCCAGAATCCAAAAGCAAACCAGTACTCGCAAGTTGCAGCCTCTTGAAGAACAACAATATGAGCAGAAGCCAATAGCCGCAAGCAAAAGCAAGAAAGGGTCCAACAAGAAGTTGGTTTCCAGATTGAAGAAGCCTCAACAATCATTGGAAATTATCCGAAGCCGAAACAAGAAAGAAGAACCTTTCGTTCGTGCTCCTAAAGCCAGCAGAGTAAACATTCCCGACAAGAAATGCAGGAAAATCCCATTGTCCGATGATCTCCTCAACAGCATAAAGATCCCCACCCTCATCCTAGTTAAAAAAGACCCTTCTCCTCCATCCACAAATATCCCTCAAAAACAGGTATCAACACGGAAATCTTTCCTGTTAATCTTAATTGTTTTCTTTTGTTATCAGCTTATTATTCATGTGCCTTTCAGGCCTTACATGCTCGAAGACCGTACATCAAACAAGAACCACGACAAGAACACGTTTCAAGATGTAACAATGCCACCATTACCACCGCCGCCGCCATCTCCACCGCCGTTGGTAAAGAAGAACACGATTACATTACAAGAATATTAAGACGCACAGGCTTAGACAAAGATACCCGAGTCTCCATTTCGTCCTGGTTCTCTCCTTCCCATCCTCTCGACCCTTCCATTTTTCACCAACTCGAGAACGAAAACAATGATGAAATATCCAACTGTAGTGAATTTAGGCGCCGGTGCAACAGGAAGTTGCTGTTTCATCTAGTGGATGAACTTTTGAGTGAAATTTTGAAGCCATGTTTCAATATGAAGCCTTGGGTGGTGAGCACCGTCGGGCATGGTTTTAGTTATACGGATGGGTTTCGGCTAATAGACACGTTGTGCTCGAGAATCGGAAGCTTTCCTTGTTCTGATTGTCGTGTTCTTGAAGACATCGACGCGTTGATCGGAAGAGACTTGGCGGAGGTTAATGTGCAGGGCGTAATGGCGTACGAGGAACAAGGGGAAGGGATTGTGGCGGAGATCGAGAAGGACATACTAGACACGATGCTGTACCAAGAGTTTGAACTCTCCGAGGATTCGTTTCAAGAATGAAACGGCATCGTTTACTTACTTTGAGGGGAGAGACAGATTAACGTGATGACATCCTATATCTTGATTTTCAATTAGGTTCAGCTGAAAATTAAGGAGTGTAGCATTTTTTTTATCTATCAATAAACATACTACATTAATATAATGTTAGTGATTTGTGAAAATTAATATAAATTCTAATTTTATATATATACAAAAACTAAAATTCACATTACATACTATAACAAAAATATATACCGAATCAAAGATTGTGTTTTAACATTTATGAACCTATTAAAAGAATTTTATGGTTAAAGAGTCTTATTCTTTTTAGAGATTTTGAATTCGAGTAACTACATTTGTAGGTTGTATACAATATCAATGGTTAAAAATAATTTTGGACAGAATCATCCCAAACTATTAAAAAATATTTATTCTTATAAAATTCTAAGGAGTGGTTTAAATAAAATAATGGCATATTCCTCTAGATGATTCGGGTTTGAACGACTTAGTCTCTAGGTGTACGTGAATATATGAGTTTATTCATATTTGAAAACATATACAAAGACTATTGTATAATTGAATTAAAATAAACATTTATGCTAGGCATGTGACTAAAACGGATTAAAAAATAAGGTTAGATATAATTTTAGAAAAAATAATTGAGTGACTAAAATGAAATTACGAGAATAGGTAGGTGATTAATTACATAGTTTACACTAGACTATATTATTATTATTATTATTATTATTATTATTATTATTATTATTATTATTTTATTATTATTATTATTATTATTATTATTATTATTATTATTATTATTATTATTATTTTGATTAATGTGAGATAAATATAAGGTAGTATATGTTTAAAGATACTCTCAATCATTTGACATTAAAAGCTCACACTCTGACATTCTCAGTGCTCAAACTTAGACCTCAAGAAATAACAATAATTCTTATACCAGTGAGGTCGCTTGGTTCATGACCCTAGATTAATTAAAATTTGTTTATCTGTCAATATATATTTTTTTCAGTAAGGTTCATTACAAAATATTAGATATAAAATAGGTTCAAAACCCTAAGTCGTTACCATGATGTCTTTTTACTCAAATATATCATTTTTTTTAAATTGGAAAACTAAAATGATAATATCTCTAATTATTTATTAAAGTGATACTTTTAATTTTTTTAAAAATGGGTAAACCATACCAGAGACCACCAACTATAGTCTTTTTTTCCATTTTGACCACCATTATTGAATTCTTGTCAATCAGATCACCCAACTATTTAAATACATTCAATTTGGCCACTAGTCATTAACAGTTAGCGGTTGTGCTGACTTGGCAATTAAAATAAATTGTATGATTATATATTTAGTCCTTATTATTTATATATTTCATCAATTTAATCATTATTTTATATTATTTCAATGTATTAATGCTCAAATAATATGACGACATGTGTCATTACATGATTGCATGACTTTTTCTAATATTTATATTTAATTGAAATATTTCCCTCTCCAATCATATGGCGCATGTGTCATCATATGATTAAAGGAAGGGTAAATTACATGTTTACTCACTGAATTTTACTCTATCTCCTATTTTAGTTATCGTATTTTTAATTTTTTCAATTTACTCACTGAACTTTAGACATTGAATTTTTTTATCACTCATTCGATGACATGGATTATTTTATTATTTCCTATATGGCATGTCATATTTTATTAATATTTTTAATACCAAATATGATTAAAATAAAAATAAATTTAAAAATTGCACTTATACCCTTAAATTATACCTAAATTCTCAAATTTATCCCAAATCCTAACACCAAAATACAACCCCATCCACCATCACCTTTGACAAGTTCGCCCTCCCACCGACAATTAGTCAAGCTCACCTCTGACCCTCACTCTCATGTTTATCTCTCACAACCATCAACCAAACCAATCAACACAACAACCATGCAATTAACCCTTTGTTTTTTTATAAGTATTTTCATTTCATTTGCATCTCTCTTTCATCTTGATGCCTCTAAGATGTTTACGTTATTGCTTTGCTATCATATGCCAGAAAGCCTTTGTTTGGTTGGCTGCAGGAAAATCGAAGATTTAAAGCTTGAGGCTAGCATCAATCTAGCAGATCAAGTTTACATCGTCTTTCGTGGAAAAAAGGTTAGGAACCTTATCATTTACACGTAAAAGAGCAATGATTTTCCTAATGGTTTTTATTCTCTATTGCTCTCACAATTGGGTCATTTTCTACGTTCAAGCTATCGTCATCATCAAGTTCGTCTAGTTCATTTAATATAGAGTGGTTAATCCTTTTCCGTGATTGCCTCCTATGTTTCTTTGGTTCCAGTCGGGGTTCAGCTCGCTGAATACCCATATCTCGCACCCTGTACCTAACATCACCCTCTCTTTTGGTCCCAAACATCCCCAACTAAAATTCCTCTCTGATTCTGATCTCATCAAGAAGTTGGAAATAGTAAGGATATCTTTTCTAATCCCCTTTAACAATGCACCCAAAGGTCACCGGAGACCACCTTGCCGACCACCGTAGCCACTGGCGGCGCTAAGCCCACCAACCATTGAAACTTGAATGTGGGGTTTTAGGTTTTGAGTGTATATTTTAATATTTTTAAATTTATTTTTATTATAATCCTTAAAAATATTAAAATATTAATAAAAACATCAATATCATCGAATGAGTGATCAAAAAATTTCAATATGTTCAGTGTGTAAATTGAAAAAATTAAAAATACAGTAAGTGAAATAGGAAATAAGTAAAATTCAGTGAGTAAATGTGTTATTTACCCTTAAAGAAAAATAAATTGAAAGAGAGGGATTATAATCCTAAAAAATATTAAAATGTTAATAAAAAATGTTATATGGAAAATAATAAAATAATTTGTGTACTTTACCCAAAGCATAATTTGAGTATTATTTTTAAAACTTTTTTTAAGAAAAGATCGTTTGAATTTGTTACATTAGCCCAATTACTGTATTGGGCGACTAGATATACATAAATTGGTAATGGGCTTGTAACCTATAAAGTAATTAATTATACTCAAACAAACAAATCATCGTCTTCCCTCATCTTAGTTTCGATTTCAATGGCGGAAGCAGCAACAAAGAGGAGAGCTGCCGATAACAAAGCACCAAGGAAGCCAAAATGGCATCTTCTTCAACCCAAATTGAATCTCCACATTAGACGCCTTAAAAACCACGATCTCTTCACCGTACGCGTCTCTTCAATTTTACCCTTTGTCCCCTTGAATGAAATCACGAGATTATTCTTTGATATATAGTTTAAATGCCTTTGATCGAAGGAATTATTGGGTATGTCAATTAGAAGAAATTTAATGATTACAAGTGTATCATAACTTCTAATAGAAAAGTACGGAGATTTAAGATAGAGTAATCGAGTAGTGCGGGTCATATTCATAGGGTGTATCATCTCTGTATTCTTTTAATGCCTAATTTTTATGATTTCTACTTTTATACGTTTATGTCATTGGAATTTATAAAGATTTAGAATTAGAGTAACGGAGTACTGTTATTTTAGTTTAGGTTTTATCTTATTTGACTTTATTCCTTCTCGTAGCTTGTTATTCGTTGACTACTGTGTATTATTCTTTTCATGTTTCATTCTTTTAAATTTTGTTGGATCTTACGTTTTTGTCTATATGAAGAGATTTTTACACAGAGATTTATTTGTCGGGATTACTTCCTATTACAGACGCGTATATGAAGACTGTTCAACTATGTATTTATTTATTTATTTATTTATTTATTTATTTATTTATTTATACATGCATTACATTTTATCTTTATTTTTAATTTTCTAACTGTCGGTCTTCCACGGAAGCTGCTCTCAACCTGGCGTTGGGGGCAGTCTATTATCCTACCTTCTCTTATCCCATTGCATATGGGAATAGGATTTTGTTGTTGTTGTTGTTAATGATTACAATTGTGATCCAAGTCGTAGTCAAATCACCTGTTAAAAGGTTCGAAATTTCAAGCTTTTTTAACTCACATCAGGGTTCTTATAAGGGTTGAAGTTAGTTTGAAAAATGTATAGAGAATTAAAACTCCGGTTTTGATGTTTTAGCTGCCTGTTCATTGGTCTAATGAATAACGAAAAGCTTATTATTATATTATTCTAAGAACAAAAATTATGAAATTGAGATCGATTGTAGGTGGAATTTAAGATGGATTTGATTCCTAGCCGATCTTGTATCTTTATTTTACTTGGACATGTACAATTACAAGGCTGAAGACTTGAACTTTTCTGTATAGCATGCAGAAATCACATTATACTTTGTATATGTGTGTGTGTAAATATCAGGCTGGCTCATATAAGTAATGGTAGGAAATTGCTTTATGATTTCAAAATCCCAGAATGTTAATAATGTTCAATTGTTTTCAACATATGCAGGTGCAGAATTTCTTCTTGACTGCAGAATCGAAGGCGCTTATTAAAGCCGCAAAGTCGACTGGTTTTGAACACCAAGGAAGTCTTGGTCCAGCGAAAGGCGAAGCCTATCGAAACAATGATAGAATATCTGTTAATGATCCAGCTCTTGCGGATATGGTATGGCAGTCTGGACTGAGCAAATTATTCTCTGATATTAAAATTAGGGGGAGAGTTGCGGTTGGCTTAAATCCAAATATTATGTTTTACAGGTATATGTAATTTCTTCCCTTAAATTCGTACTTTTATGCGAATAAATTACATAATTCGTTGTTGGTTGATACTAGATTTCTTGAATATTAAAGAATAATTTTGATATGCCTGTTGCCTAGTTGACAAGGAAACCACATATGTAACTATGAATCAAGTAATACGGGGGGTTGGATTACAAAAATGTTATGATGTATTCTGACAGTTTCTCAATCATATTGTTTAATGTGCTTCTCTAGTCTACATGGAATGCTGGTTTTTTAGTACTTACCATGCAGTCTATATTATACTTCCAGGTACAAGATCGGTCAGCACTTTGGACGGCACATCGGCGAAAGTGTTGATCTTGGAAAGGAAAAGCGCACCGTTTATACTTTGTTAGTATATTTAAGCGGTTAACCCAAAGCCAAAGGCAAAATCGATTCAAGCAGCCCAAAGGATCCTGCTTCAGAGCCTCTAGTAGGAGGGGAGACTGTCTTCTATGGATCAAGGAATAGTGTTGTTGCAGAGGCAAATCTCTTTTCAATTTATGTCATTTTCACATTGTTTTAGTTGTTCCCTTCCCCAAACCACAGTTTCACCCTTTCATTTTGTTTACTTTTCAAATTCCTTTATAAATATTATAGTAACTCTTGCAGGTAGCTCCTGCTGAGGGAATGGTTCTCCTACACATCCATGGAGACAAATGCATGCTGCATGAAGCTCGAAACGTATCCAATGGTATCAAATATGTTTTCCGATCTGATGTAGTTTTTGCTTGAGGAAGGAGCTATAGTTTTTTGAATCGAGAAGGTTTGTTAAGTGTTCCTCTATAAAATTCTTATACATGTAAGATATAGAATATGGATGTAATGTATTATTCTAGTCCCTTTTAGTAATTGCAACAACTTATCCTTGTATTATCCTTGAGTGCCAGGAATTTCTGCAAACTCACAACTCAACGACGAAAGCGGACATGCATTAGCAACATACTGCAATCATGTATAATAGGTATGTACCTTTTTATATGCCAAGAATTTTAACATCAACTCCGCTTTAAGAGTTTTGTCGACATCGGATAACAAACCGAAGTCGCCACCTTAGAGAAATCAGGAACAGTCTGATTAGTGCGCCATGTTTCTATGTGATATATTTGTACTCAGCATTATGAAGACTGTATTGCTTCTCTATAAGGCATCAAAAAAATGTAGAAACCAGGTCTGAAACATTCATTTACAAGATACATGTAAGATCAGAAAACAATTACTGTTGTAAAACCAGTTTCTGTTTTTATCACTCGTTTCCTATACGATCTGAAATTATTTTTTTTTTCTTATTATGTTAAATCATTTAATTTTATGCATTGCAATAACCAAACTTAAACGCGAGATATCATCAGTTAACATTACACAGGCATTGCTGAAACAGGTGACAAGATGACCAATTAAAACCAGCACACGCGTCACGCACAAAACACCACAAAACAAAACACGTAGGTTTTGAGTGGGAACCGAACCATAAAGAACAACAGGACAAGAGATTTTGGTTCGGTGGAGCCCGCATCCCTAGGTGCACCCTCATGTGACATTGCACGTTTGTCTCCCAAAAACTTTTCCGAGAACAATGAAAACCTTGAAAAGAAAAGGTTGAAGATGATATATAACTAAGATAAGCAAAAAAAAAAAAGAAACAAGTACTGGCAACATGTTTTTTTGCACTTCAGGAACAAAACCCTCAAAATCCTAAACAACTCTAGCTCTGTATCACCAAAATCAAGAAACTTAACATGTTCTTTGACTACAAGGCAAACTCATTAACCTGTTCTTTGACTACAATGCTCCGAACATGGCGTTTGTTGATTTGCAGGACGACCCAGCAACTGAAGCTCTCTCTTATCAAGAATCTCCAAAGAAAATTCTCTAAGCATCTGTGTAGTACAACTATTGTTATCGCCATTGCTAACCCCAACAACACTTGTAGCACATGAACTAGTACAAGTGGGCACAACACTTGAACCCATCGACCCCACGCCCGAATCCAGCACCTCTTGTTGCGTAGCAGACAGAAAGCTCGATACCGGTCGACCCGCAACGTTGAAAAACGGCGTTGCGGTCGCTGGAATCGCCCACAATTGTGCCTGGTTCGGACCAGCAGCTGCGGGGATAGACCATATAGGAACCAACCCTTGTGAGTTCAAATTGAAACTATTGTTGTAAGTCATTGGAGTAATAGGTGTTAATCCTGAAGGAACTGAACTTTGATACTCGTTAACATCGATGAACTCACTGTTTGCCGGTCTTTTCCTACGTTTTCTCTGCAACTCGCCGTCTACTTGTTGTTTCGTCGATGAAGTGGGTATCTTGAGAGTTCCATTGACCGAAACAGCAATGGCGGGGACCGTCCCGGTGCCCGTAGCTTCAATTATAGCTGGTTCGGCGTGTTCTAATAGCCACCTAATGGTTTCGCCGTCGGACTTGTGACCCAGTTCTCTGGTGAGCTGAAAAATCCTAGCGGCACAAGTGGCGGGCATACGGATCCTCCGTCCGCGGCCTTCGACTTTCGTGTGACGGTCCTTTGACTTGCGTTTGGGGGTTCGGGCGACTTGAACCAGAGTCCGGTTGAACTCCGTATCCGTCGATTCCTCCTCTTTCATTGGTTGGTTGCGGTCCATCACGGTGGCGTCAGAAGCGGAGAAACTCGGCGTTCTTCGATGGCGTTGTTCATTGACGATGACGGCGGTATTGTTGTTGATGCTCTCGTCGATTTCTTCGATGGTTTGACTCCGATTACACTCCATGGAAAAGGGATTTTTATGCTGTAAAATTAAGAAAAATAAATCAACAAAAAATATTAGTAGCAGGGTTAGAAAAAGAGTGGGACACGCGCATATAATTGTGTGAAGAGGGAAAAGTGGCGGAAAAAAAAGAAGGAACAAACCCTAAAGCAGCCCCACCTTTTTGAGAATCGAAGAGTCCCAAAACGACACGTATTTATCTTCTCTCTTACAAGAGGAGATTATGACACCTGTTCTTCATCTTATTTTTCACTATTTTATAAATAAGGGTAAATTAGAATGTTTCTCACTAAATTTTATTTTTCTCTTATTTTATTTATATTTTTTTTTAATTTTTCAATTTTCCTCATTGAAATTTACATATTAAATCATTTTGTCAACTTTGTCGTTATCTCTCTGATATGTCCTTTTTACTATTATTTAATATAAAATAATAGAAAATATAAAGGGTAAATTACATCATTTCTCATTGAACTTTACTCTCTCTTCTATTTTGTTCATCTAACTAAAAAATTAAACCGTCTCAATCTGACCCAAATTTTATGGGTCGCTTCGCCTCGATACCTTGAATCCAAATCTGACATCTATTTTGTCGGAACTAGCTCAGAAGTCCACGAATCAGAATTGAAAGTGAGAAAGTCGAAACGTTTCAGTCGAGATTCATGGATTTTGGGACATTTTTCAGTGAAATAATCATCAGATTCGAAATCAAAGGGTCGAGATTAACCATCCCATGAATTTTGGGACCGAACAACCACCATCAACGGTCGACGGTAGTCGGAATAAAAAAATGATGTGACGGCCGTCGTTGGTAATGGAAGAAATAAGAAGATTTGAAATGACGTCGTTTTTGTGTATATTTGAATTTTTCAAAATGATATCATTTTAACGCATGTGTCATTCATACGAAATTAAAGGTCTTTTATGAAAAAACGAGCTAAAGGTTTTTTGCCCTCAAATATTAGACATGAGCAAAGCTTATGGCAGAGTCGAATGACAGTTTTTATGTGCAGTAATGGCACGAATGAGTTTCTGTCCGGAGTGGATTGGGAAAATTCAAGAATATGTTTGCTCGGTCTCATATTCGGTTGTCCTAAATGGTGTGGTGGGAGAGAGATTCTTTCCTCAACGGGGACTTCGACAAGAGGATCCTCTTACTCATTATCTGTTTCAGATATGTAGTGAAGGTTTGTCTTCTTTAATTCGTTGTGCAACTTTGAGGGGGAGTACAAAGGATTTCGGATCAATAGATACGTTTCTGTTATTACACATCTTTTGTTTGTAGATGACATCATTCTTTTTAGGGAAGCTTCTGAACAAATGGATGTTATAAGGTTGATATTGGTATATGGGGAGAGTTCAGGACAAGTAATTAATTTGGATAAATCTGGTTTCTTTTTTTTGTGTGCAAATGTTTCAGATGATAGGAGACACAGTATTCAAATAATTTTAGACGTTCCAATGTCTACAAACCTTGAGCAGTATTTGGGTCTCCCGACGATTGTTGGTCGGAGCACGGGAGGGGCTTTTGCAAATCGGAAAGATAAGTATCGTAACTGTATTCGAAGTTGGACTGTTCGGGTGTTGACCTAGGGGGGTAAAGAGGTATTTATCAAATCTATTTTGTAAGCAATCCCATTGTATGCAATTAATTGTTTTTTGCTGCCTAAAGCGATTTGTTAAGATTTGGAAGCTACAATGGTGCGTTTCTGGTGGAAAAGGTCCAAACGAAAGAGGTGAATACACTGGTGTTCTTGGGAGTCTTTAAGCAGACTAAAGGAGAAGGGGACTAGGCTTTAGGGATTTGGCAAAATTCAATATCGTTCTTTTAGCAAAACAGGGCTGGAGACTGATCCAAAATCCTACATCCTTAGTTGGTCGTTTGTTACGAGCTAAGTATTTTCCTACAGTACGTTCTTTTTTTCTCTTTAGAAGCTACGACATCCTACATATGGTGGATTATTTAGGGTGGAGTATTTAGAGTGCAAAGTGTTTATTAGAAATGGGAGTCCGATGGAAAGTAGGCAATGGGAGAGGTATTTCTATATGGAACGATTATTGGCTGCCATATGATCGACCACAGTTAATGAAATCACCTCGTAATGAATCAGTGGCATGGGTGGTAGAGTTGATTGATGTGAATTCAAAAGCTTGAAGAATGGATTTAGTTTGGCAATTTTTTGTCGAAACTGAAGCTGATTTGATTTGCAGAATTCCCATATCTTATTTTAATCAGGAGGATTGTCGCGATTGTTTAGCGTGAATAGTGCGTAAAAATTGCTTTTAACTCCAGCAGGTGAGTTCCCACATCATAAGTATTTGTTTAAGACGATGTGGGGTTGTAACTGTCAAAGAAAAATCCAACTTCAAATTTGGAAGTTCATCTGCAATTATGTACCCGCTAAAAGAAACATGTATCAGAGGCGTATTCTCAATGACCCAAGTTGCTCGTGATGTGCTCAGGTAGTAGAAAATAATGTGCATGCTGTGAGAGATTGTATTTTACCGAGACAAGTTTGGAGAGCTTTGGGTTTTAATTGGCCTATATGGGTTAACTCTTTAGATTTTAGTGCATGGTAATTTTAGCTTTTTCATCATAATTCTAGTGAGAAGCATACAAAGGTTTTAGTAGGGATTTGGGCTATTTGGTTCGCCCGAAATAAACTGTTACATCAGGGGAATGATATGAGATGTGAGGAAGTAATTACCTTAATCTGAACTAAATGTGATGATTTTGGCAAGACAAACAAACAACTTTATGGACCGCGAACCCCTTCACTAGTTGTTGGAAGCCTCCACCTCCGAACCATGTGAAGATAAATTTTGATGCCCGATTTGTGCATAGTAGAAATGAAGCTTGGTTAGGAATCATAGTGTAACATCCCAAAAACCAGATTAGTGACTAAAATGTAATTTTTGAAACTTTGAGGTCTGATTTTGAAAAATTGAAAAGTTTAGGGATTTAATTGGAAATTATGTGAGTGTGATTGATTAGTAAAGATGGAAAGATAGAAGGGTATAATGTTCATTTGGCAAGAAAATAATTAAAAACTTATAGTGGTGTTATATATTTACACGTGTAGATGGGAAGAAAGAAAAATCATAGAATTTTGGATGATAACTTCTTCTTCTTCCACCGTGATTGCTTGGTAAAAGATAATTTGGTCTCAAGTTGGTTATTTCCTTCATTTTAAAGTCGGCTTTGATACTTGGAGTATTAAGAGAGCTTAAGGAAAGATTAACGTTGTTTAAAACTCAAAGAGAGATGAGTTATAAGAGTTTAAGTAAAATGAGTTTTTGAGTGAATTGTTGGAAAAGAACGAGTAAATGAATTTAGAAGTCATTTTTGACTTGTCAAGGGTATAATTAAGAAGTTAGAAGTAATAGAAGTGAATTAAGAACATGTTGAAAATTTAATAAGATTCTTGAGTTCAAGAATTATAATGAGATAGTGAAGATAATGATGGGTTATATGGATATAAGATTGTATGAGTAAGTATAGTTGAAGTTAATGTTATGAAAAGAGTTCAAAATAAGAGGTTTAAGTAAGCTTTGGTAAATTCTCGGATTAAATAAGGGTGTTCTGGGCATGGAGTATCAATAATGTTCATCCACCATCGATACTTCAAAGCAAAATGAGTAGAAATTGAGCTTGGGGTATCGATACTAAAGGAACAATATCGATACCAGATGATAAAATGGGTTGAAATCTTTAGGAAGTATCGATACCAAAGAAGAGTGGTATCGGTACTGGTTGAAGAAAGTATCGATACCAAGTGTCTAGTATCAATATCATTATCAAGTTACAAATACAAAATGTTAAAATGGTATCGGTACCGAGGAGGGGTATCGATACCATAGAAGAGTAGTATTGGTATTGTATTGGGAGTACCGATACTATTGAGTATGAAATGTTAAGTGTTTCTTTCAGCTTAAGTTATATTGATTGGTTATAAGCAATTCGAACTCCGATATTCATTTAAGTCGTATATTCGTGTAGATATCGATCGAAGTCAAGCCAAGAAGATTTGAAACTATAAGAATGTACAAGAGTCATAAGTATTTGAATTGGCTAGTGAGACCCAATATGAAATATGATTTGATGGTAATTAGACTTGCGACAAGTCGATTTCCGACATTTTACTATATGATTGCATGAGTATAATAATGATTATAATTTGTATTGTGTGATTATGCCTTGTATGTATTACATGTTACGTGATATAAACCCACTTGATATGTGTTATATAACAATGACCTAAGTGACCATATGAGATTACATGCCTATGTAATAACATAAGAAAGTGAAATAAGTTGAATAACATTGATCTATGTGATTATGTGAAGAAGAAAATAATTTATGTAATTATAAACTATATGAATATAAGTTTATGTGATATGCAATATATGACAATGAGCTACGAGAATGTTATATGATCTACGTGATAAGAAGCTATATGTTTACATGCCTATGTGATATGAATATGTGAATTTGTGACATGAGCTACGCGAAAATAAGCTACGTGATTACATGTGCATGTGAATATGTTTATGTGAAATAAGTGATATGAACTATCATAAATAATAATGCCCATGTTACATGATAAGAGAACTAGGAGTATAGTTGACATGCCAAGAGTCGAGGGTTTTACGTGGTCCTTTGGGACATATATGTAATCCTTTGGAACATATATGCGGTTTTTTGAGACACATATTTGATCCTTTAGAATATATATATATATATGGTCCTTAAGGAGATTTCTATGTAGTCCTTCAGGATATTTTATATGACACTTCGGTGCATTTCTACGCGGTACTTCGATGCATTTCTACGTGTCACTTCGGTGTATTTTATACGAGCTGTGGTGACAGCATATGTGCACAACTTCTATGTACTCACATATTTTTACTTCTCAGAAGTGTACATGAACTATTAAAAGACACAATATAAATAAAGTGTACGTGTATTTCTTGATGCAATGTATTATATGCTTTGTATAAATGATAAGTATAAGATTATATGATAAATGAGATTAATGGAAATGATAAGATTATTG